TGGTGTAAGTCGGTTAAGAATATTTAAGACAATAAAACATTTTGTGTGTGTTATATATCGAGCCTAAATATGTAATGAACAAAATGAAATATAAAGCAAGTGTGATGACAGTGAAAGATCTTGGTCTGTTCCGTTTAGCCATGTTTCAGTTAAGGCCAGAATGTCTTGATGGTTAGAAATGACAAGGTCATATATTTGAGTCGATTTTCTGACAATAGATCTTGCATTCAAGATAGCAAAATTACTGGAAAGCTGAGTTTTCGATGGAGCACCAAGAAGCGCAACAGGTATCAGATTTTTGACATGTCTAGAATAGGTTTTCATTGTAAATGCACTTCGCTCGAGGACTCGCTCGTTCGCGATATGATACGGAAAAACTCGTGAGTAAAAACGATATCAAGTTCTTAACATGTGATAATCTCTATGTATATATATATTTTTACAAATAAGAGTGTCCTAGCATTTGAGGCTTTAAAAGATCACAACTTAAAAAATAAAAAGGAAAAGTTTACATTTCGTGCAAATCGACACCTTTTCACTCTTTATTTATTCGAGGGTCAAAGGAAGCGAGAACATGCAGAGCAGCCATTGCAAAAGCACAAACCAGTCTTGGCTTCGCTTTTGAATACAAAACTGAATAAAGCTTATAGTTACCAGATATTCGGAGCCTGCGCCGACAGCTGCAGAAACTTCTTGGGGCATTGTGCAGAAAAGCATCACCAAGGTTACAGCTACGAGAAAAAGAGTCTGGTCTTTCATATCGGGTCCGTCCGTCGTTTTGAAGAGTACTAACGAACTGAGTTATCCCACTGGTTCTAGCACTGAATGAAGTTCAAACGAAGTTGTCTCAATTTATAATATAATTTTTTTAGAACTTTCGTTAGCGATGTTGAACGTAACTCCGTCTTTTTAATTTACTTTAATTTCTTTCAGCTTTATTTACTTTAAAACAAACAACTCTATAAGTCTAATTGGAAGAATGTTGTCGCCTCCTCTCTGATGATGATTCATCCTGTCAAAGTTTTCAATTGCTTCATTTTAAATGTTCGATTAGTCTGGTTACAACAAATGCCGTTTTATTATTCCTTTATAATTTGAAATCGAGAATAACGGCTAAAAGAGTATCCAACCAACTAGATATTAATTAACCCATTAATAATATATGGCTATTAATTGTCGCTGATTCGATTCCATTTGCAGAATCGCTACCTTTCACACTATACTACTAATGACATATCTGTATTCAGCCACTTTCAGATGCGCGTGGTGTTTTCTATTTATCCTTCTCGAACATTGGTATTTGTGCCATGAATAATGTATGAGTCAATTCCAAAGGTGCCCATCCCCCCTCCCCCCGGGCAACGGGCAACCCCCCGGGCATTTGACTTTTTGGGAAAAATTGGTCAAATTCCCCCACCAATAATAATAATTAATAATAATAATAATAATAATAAATGATAATAATAAACCAGGAAAACTATCCACGAGCATGGTGGGATGCTGTGAGTCAACAATTCTAATATACTTACCAGCCTACCAAGGAGGTAAGGTAAAAGTTGGTCAAATTCCCCCACCATGCGGGCCAGCCAAATGATCAAATGCCCCACCGTTCAGGCTCCACTAAGTGGTCAAATGCATGCCCCTCCAGTCTGTGAATCTCAAATTTTACCTAAAAAGTACTAAACTGAGCCCGTACAACTGAAGTTTTCCTATTCATGGTTATCATAATAAATGAAAAATCTTAAATTTTCCCAATATCATAGATAATAAATCTTGAATTTCCTCTCCGAACAAAACAGTTATTTTAAACAACCTAGGCATTTTATTTTTAATTCAAAGGATTATAATAATTACAATAAGGATTATAATTATAATAATAATACTTGATTCTTGATTTCTTTTTTCCCTTTTAATTGATTTATTTTATTTTTTTATTTCAATTACACCTCGTGCTGTAAATATATTCTTGTTTTCCCAAGGCCCATGGATTGGACTCGGTAAACTAAGAATTTTGTAAGCAAAATTGAAGAAAATTGAAGCAAATTGTAAATAAAGATAATCAAAATAATGATAATAATAATAATAAT